AAAAAAAAAAAAGCCAAATCTATTATCCAGAAATACCTAAGTACAAAAAAAAAAAAAAAATTATCAATAATCTTGCATAGAGAGATAACAACAGTTAACATTTTGGTATATATGCCTCCCAACATTTTTCATGTTTGTGGTCACCATAACACCACTGACTTAAGAACATGTATGCACACTCAGGATCATTATATAAAAAATACAGGCTTTGTAACCTACTTTTCCTCTAAAAAATTTCTTGAAATCTTTGCACTTTAGGTATATGGATCCAAGTCATCATTTAAAAAGCTTATGTGGCTTTACTGGAGGCATATTCTTTCATAATTTAATCTCCTATGATGGGCATTTGTTGATTAATTTTATTTTTGCCTAATTTTTTGCAATGACTAAATAATGCTTCAGTGAGTAACTTTACACATTGCCTGATTATATCCTTAAGGAAAAGGACTAAAAATAGACATTTTGTGTTAAAATACATAAATATTTTGAAGCTTTTGGTAGATATTGATATATTTATAGAACTTTGATGAATTTATGCTTTCATCAGCAGGGTATGATAATGTGACAAAAATAGAGATTAAAAAAATTTTTTTTCTTCTTTTTTTGTTAGCTGTACCATTTCGGGAGAAGAAACGCAAGAATGGAGCTTCATTCCAAATGGTTGCATCTCTGCATAAAGTAATTTTTAATCGTATCTATTCATATATTAACTGCCTCCCAATCTGAATATGTTATTACTTATTTGACATTTCACATTTGCAAATGAGAATAAAGTATCTGAAGTTAGCCTAGTTGGAAAAGTTGAATTTATGATGACATTATGAAGGGCTGTAGGGGACACCAATGGTGTCCACCTCTACCCCCTTTATCATCCCTTCACCCATCTTCCAGCTGATGTGAACACTGTCTCATAACAAATAGTGGCCAAAGTTCCCACGGCCAAATGGGAAGCTAAGCTGCCTCCTCTCCAGATGTCAGCCTCTCTCTTGCCTAAAGCGGGGACCAACATGGTGCAATTGGTGCATTTATGCTCACAGCTCCTGCAAGGATCAGACTCAAGCTGTGTCTGCACCATTGCTTTGTTCTCTCGCCTGCTCATTCCTTCTTCCTTCACTCTCTAAATAAATCTCTCAAACCAGAATTCCATTCCAATCTCAGTTTCTGCTTCTAGAGAATCTGAACTAAGATAAAGGTTTTCCACAGAGAGAAAACTTCAGAAACAATTTCTTTTTCCAAGCCATTTTATTGCTCAGTCATACATTATTGCTATCAAATTCAAAGCAGGTAGAGATGATTCACAATGGAACTATGTCTGTCAGATAAATATTGACTTGCCATAGGAGAGAAATAATGTATGACTGGTAGGTAGCAAAGAATGTTGAATTCATTATTTCGCTGTTGGTATGCATCTTGGCTGTACGATTAAGTTGATAGATTTGGAGACATTTGTGAGGTGGATTGGTGTTTTTAGTGATTTGCAAAGTAATTTTGTGTTTATTATGGTCTCCATTTTAGGAAAACCTAAATAAATTGATGACTAATCTGAAATCAACCGCAGCTCATTTTGTGAGATGCATAAATCCAAATGTGAACAAAATGCCAGGTAAGAATTAGATTTCTTTGTAATCCATACTAGGAAATATATTTGATTTCAGCTATATTGAAAATCTTTTTAGGAAATATTTACTGGTCCCTTTTATATAAGGATAGACTTTCTTTTTTGTTGTTGTTGTTTTTTGGAGTTGGAGTCTCACTCTGTCACCCAGACTGGAGTGCAGTGGCCGCTCCCGGCCGCTGCAACCTCGACCTGCTGGGCTCCAGCGATCCTTCCACCTCAGCCTTCCAAGTAGCCGGAATTACAGGCATGCGCTACCATGGCTGGCTGATTTTTTGATTTATTGTAGAGATGAGGAATCGATGCCCAGGCAGGTCTCAAACCCACGGGCTCAGGCAATCACTCACCTCAGCCTCCCAAAGGCATGGGATTACAGGCTGAGCCACCGAGCCCGGCTAGGGATAGACTTTCATATAGAAAAACTAGTGTAAGTTAAGAACAAGGTCTTTGGAACCTCCTCAAGATTGCTTTTGAATTTAGATTCAAGTGGACATATGGAAGAATTGAACAATGTAGGCTGAATTGGACAACATTAGAAGGCTTGATACTACATTTAAATTTCTCCTTTTATGCGAAGCATGGATGAGCTCCCCTGCCATTGTCTACAGGTGCAAAGTATGACAAAAAGGGATTGACTAACCAATCAAGGGATTGAGGTAGATATTTCAGCATAAAGGAAGTTATTTGATTTGAGTTATTTAAATTGACCACAGAGACAATTTCTAAATCTACTTCTAATTGTTGAGAACTTCTTCTAGTCTTCCTTCCCAATACCAACGTTTTCTTGCCTCTTCCTAACAACTATTATTTATTATTATTTCTATTAACTATTCTGGGCAGTGGCTACTTTTTGATGAGTCAACAGTGGTAGCAGGATAATGGGATAGGTGGATGGTAGTGAATGTTTTAAATTCCCCAAACAAAAGTGTTTACCAAAATTAACCATATGGATTGCTTTCCTTACATCAAGAGTTTGACAATTGTCAATTGCCAGCCACTTCTTTCTAATTAAAAGGCCTCTCTGGAGCTCTGGTTGGAGGCTGTCAGTCTCAAAGGAGTGTATATGACAAGGCTTTATGTCTTCAGAGCACTAACCACCCTTGTAATAGCCAGATGTTGCTGGTTCTGATTTCTGAGGTTCTTTAGTTTCTTGAATTTTTATTAACCTCCTGTAATTAAGACCCCAATCTTGACAGTCTGTGGCCTATTTTGGGAAAGCATGATGCTAAACAATGATGCTGTAGTTTGAGTTTTTGCAGTGCAGACATTTCATGTTCATTCACGGCTGTGTGTTTTTGCCTCATTGTTTCTTATCAGCTGGGTTTCTGAATGTATCTAGGGACACTGCTTCCATCTAGCAAGGAATCTAATTAGTTGCCTCTATTTTGGAGCAATTCTGTTACCTATTAGAGTTACCTCCCATTGAGTCAGTTCAAGTTTCAGCAGGTTTTATTTTTTTCTTAAAGTTATAAGACAAAATCATAAGAAAAGCCTCATGATCTAATCAAAACAGTTCTTCGTATGTACTTAAAGGAAATGAGTGTGCTTGATCTTAAGGTATTGTAAGACTCTACTTTTTATTTCTTCTTACAGAGCCCACATTTTTGTCTATGAAAGGGATGGAGTATAGAAATATGGGTAGATGGCTTAAGTTTATTTCTGTGACCTTAGGCATAGACAGAATCATCTTTTTTTTTTCCTGTGATACCATGGCCTTTGCGTTAGGAGGCATGCTTCTTGACTTCTTCCAGAAGATTTGTTGAGGGCCAGATACTATGGCTTCTTAGATGGTTTTTCAAAGGCCTTTATTGGCTGTTGCAGCTGACAGCTGCAGTAGAGCTTCTTTTGATGAATGGGGAAGCAATAGAAAGATGCTTATACTATAGAATAAAACGTAGGCACTGTTAAGATAACAAGGGGAGAATAAAGGCTGGGATGTGGACAAGTCCTTCCTACACAAAATTGTAAACAGAATGTTGTTGTTGTGTCCCTCTTCTTTTTTCTTTGTATTCTCCCTTCTTGTTATCATTTCTCCCTCCTATTTGGAGATAGAAGCTCCCTTCTGTGTTCTTATCATCCTCTTCAGCTGGTTTTTGGTTGGCAAATGAATTTGATGCCCGCCATTTACATTCTAGCAAAAAATGTAACGATTTTTCCCTCCCAGTAGGTAAAACGATTTGCTTATAAAATTGTATCTCACTGTGAATTAAAGGGCTTATTTTATATTAATTGAATTTCAGGTGAATCGTATATGGAGACTCCTATATAGTAGGATGGGTACTTTGAGTACCAATAGGATGGGAGTGAGTAAACTCGTGTGACCTTTTGTGTAGAGAACACCCATTTCAAACTCTTCTTTTTTAACTTGGTACAAAATCTGGGATAATAATATTTTTAGGCACAGATCCAATGTGACCCTTTTTTTCAGGTGTAATGGACTCTCACTTGGTTCTACAGCAGTTGCGCTGTAATGGTGTCTTGGAAGGGATCAGGATATACTGCGAAGGTTTTCCAAACCGGCTGCTATATGCTGATTTTAAACAAAGGTAAACATATATTCCAGGATCCAAGAATCCTGAGGCAGTTCATTCTGTTTTCCTCCGTTTCTGAGTGTTTAGGCATGCATTGTTTGTTTGGTTGATGCCCTCCAGACTACAAATCAATGTGTTTTGGTGGTGGTGAGATATATGATGACAGAGTTCCATTATTATTTTCCCTTAAATCCAACATCCATGTAACTGTAATATCCTTAAATCTTTATTAACAGATAATAGACCTACATATAGAAGAAATATATACAGAAGAAACATATGGAGGCTGAATTGAATCTCTGAAATGTTGTATATACTTAATCGTAGCTGCCATCCAAGCAGACTGTTGCTTTACTAGCAATCCTGTGAAAAGAAAGACGCCAGTAGAATGTGTAGTAGGAGACAGGAAAGCATCTTTGTTTTCTCTTTCTTGAATTCTAGCAGTGTAAATTATAGGTCATCAAGCCAATATGAGCAAAGTATGATAAAGTATTAAGAGGTATATTTCTTGTTTTAGAATTTAGAAGCGTATTTCTTTCTTTCCACCAATTCACCAATAAGGTGAAGGAATCTTGGAAAAGGCATTTAATGTCTCTGCCTTTCAGCTTCCATATCCACACAGTAGAGATACTTACACCTACTTTCCTCCCTCTTTCTCCCTTTTTGATCTCCCCCTGTCTAATTGAGCAGACAATTGAATGAGGGTATCTCTAAGGTACTAGAAAAAGTACAAACTATTTTACCAGTGCAAGAAATTATTGCTTGTATATTCACTGCTGTTACTGCAAGTGTTGTGAAAATTGAACATATTGGTAGGGGAGTTAGAGGCCATTGTCTCCTTTCACTTCAATTGTCCAGATTAGTCTTGATTTGGACCATATGATCCCCACCCCCGCATTTATTCTGTTAGGTTGCACTCCCAACAGTAGTCTCCAGAATGTTAAGTCAGGCCCGCTGTGGGTATGGGTGTCTGGTTTGTGATCCAGTTCTGTGAGAAAGATGCAAAGAAGCAAAGAACTGCACAGAAGTCAGATTGGAAAATATATTTTATTTAAAAAATAAGTTAGAGAAAGAAAGAGGAGATTCACCTCCCCAAGTAAGAAAGGGGACCAAAGTCAGGAAACATGGTGACAGCCATAACTCAAAGAGCACATGGCCACACCAGAGTCTAGTAAGGCAATGCTGACTGGCTGCTTGTGATTGAATCCTTTTAATCCTTCCCTTTGATGGAGGAAGGTCATTAAGGTGATTGTTGGTGGCCTGCTCCACATTATCATGATGGGGCAGGTAAGCGTAGGTATTGATGTCAGGTGATGGACAGCAGGCAGATGGGTGGGTTAGTCACATGATTGTTGCCATGGTGGTGGGGCCTGTCTTGTAGGTCAAGAAGGACTGATTAGGTTAACTTAGATCTTATAGGTGGAAACAAATACTTGAAATAGAAAAGCTAATTAGTACAAAACAAGCTGGGGAGGGGGACTGTAAAACAATTATCAATAGCTGTCTCTGACAAACTAGTTCTGTCCTTGGCTAGTGATTAGACGATAAGTTAAATGAACTGCCAGAAAAAACATGAGATTTAGGTAATGTTAAAATGGCTGCTCATTGGGTATATTAAATGCATGTTATGTCTTTTCATTCTTTATTATTTTAAATTAGGTACTGCATTCTGAATCCAAGGATCTCTCCAAAGAGCAAGTTTGTGAGCAATAGAAAAGCAACTGAAGAACTACTTGGCTTCTTGGACATAGACCATACCCAGTACCAATTTGGAATCACTAAGGTAACCAGAAAACTGCAAAGAATGCATTTAGAGAAGAGTGGGAGTACAGACTGCTGAATGTCTTAAAATACCTGTGAAAGCTCAGTTATAAGGCATTCTTCAGCTCTCGTGACCACAAATACCACAAATAGTTCTCAGCTGAAGGTGAAAACTTCAGTGTTTGAGAAAAAATTCCAATGCTTTTTAAATCCCGGTCTTGACTATATTTACATTTTTATAATTAGTCATCTAAACAAATTTATGCCACAATACAAAATACTGAATCAACTGATGGTGCTAGAAAACTTGTATACATCAGAACTGGAAAAAGGTGAATCGTCTTCCTGGAGTTAATGGCTTGACTATGTGAACTGATTCATCCACAGTACTCTTTTAGGGAATAATTTCTAGAAGACTATCTGAATAATTTATTAACTTTAAAGTCAATCCCACTCTCCAAAAAATTAATCCAAAACCAACTTCCTTAAACATGGTCCTCTGAATTTGATTTCACCTTAGATGACTTTGGTATGACCCACATATTTTGGGAAACTTTTAACTAACAACAGATTTGGTTTTATCTGGCAGTCAACATCAGGTTGTTCCTAACGACATCTGTATAAGAATGAAATTATTTGACGGAGAGTTGAAAGATCCAGGGTGAAGAATTCACAGAAATAGAACTCTGTAGGACAAGATTATAAAAAAAGTTACTTGACTCCTGCATTTTGAGTACTTGAGAGTCAGTTTCTGCTGTTTCCTATTTCTGCTGATTCTCACCAACAATGCCTTCCTTCCATATGTGTCTAGTTATTTTTGCTGTATGTTATTCATTTGGACCAGGACTGACATGAGGCAACTGAGGCTCCTGAACCACAAACTTTAAGGAGGCACTAATTTGTATAGTTGGGTAGGTGAGGTTGAGAGGCATGTACTCTCAGGTAAAGTGCTTTTAAGGAAGCTCTCTGAGTACCTCCATAAAATTTGTGCCTTAGATACCTTACTCATTTCACCTTTGTTGTTACTGATTATTCCTGAAAAAATACTTATGCCTTATGCAAATTACTTTATTCCCAAAATAAAAGTAACTTCCTTCAACAAACTAAAGCCCAAGAGCCATATTCATGGCCTATTTTTTAAATGGGGTCAACATGCTAAAAAAATAATTTTACATGTTTAGAGAGTTGTTTAAAAACCAAAAATATCCTACAGAGGTTATATGTGGACAAATATGTGCTATCTGGCCCTTTTCAGAAAAAGTTTGTAGTCCCCCTACCTGACACTTTGGAGCACTGCAGGCCTGGGGTCCATCTTAAAACTTAAACCAGGTTCCCTGAACAATCTAGACTTCATTAATAGATAAGGGAAGAATAGTTTAAGTTCTTAAGCAACCAATATAACCACAGAATTAAATAAACTGTTTTTTTTTAAATTTTAGATTTATATACTCCAACTTTCCAAAAGGCAGATTTTGTACATTAAATAAAACTTAAGAAATAGAATTGATACAGTTGTCCCTATGAACACATCAGCTGCTCACATGATCATTCAACAGACATTTGCTGAATACCCATTATGAGTGGAACTAACGTCTGACATATTTCTTGTAGGTGTTTTTTAAAGCTGGGTTTCTGGGCCAACTGGAAGCAATGAGAGATGACCGACTATCTAAAATCTTCACATTATTCCAAGCCAGAGCACAAGGCAAACTGATGCGAATCAAATTTCAGAAAATTCTGGAAGAAAGGTATTATGTGCCCACACTGCACTCTCACTGCTCTAGTAGTAGTGTACCTCAACCAGTGTGATCTGATCTGTTTGCCTTTATAGTAGACTGAGGTAAAGATCTACTTAGCTCTTCTGCTTAGACTAAGTCTTAATTTTTAAATCATGCTACATTTTTAAAAAAAAGGGTACAAAGGGCTTTTACTGTCCTTTCCAACTAAGTGTAAGCATAATTCAGATATTTCTTGCAGTGCTTCTGGGCTTCTCTTATGGAGGGATTTTTATACTCAGAAAAGTTTAGATTGCTGAAGGTGATGAGACTCACAATTTATAACAGAAGCAGACCTGGAAAGGTTTGTCTGTACCCCACAGCCAACTCTGTGGCAAAATTTGCTTCAAAGAAAGAGGTGTTGTGACCACTTTATTACTTCCTCTGGGTCAGAAACTGTGGTTCTTGGTGACATGTAATCATAACTTTCTTACTTTATTTTAGGAATGTTCACTAGGGACATTTATCACCACTTTGGGACCCTCGGGTGTAGGTTTTATCTTTTCTTTCACAGAATCATGAAAAGCACCTGGCAAAATCTCCAAGCAAAGGAACTGTGAGCAAGGGAGCTCATTGTTGTTATGTTTACTTTTTCCTTAGCATAGTTTATATCCTAGAGAAAGGTTCACAGATCTTGATGTAATTTGCTTAATTGATAATTGGTCAATTCTGTTTCCCCAAAGAAGAAAAAGATCATTACATGGTAATGTCAAAGATATTAGAAAGACAACTCCTAAGGGTCCTCTGTGACCCTCATGTAGCAGTCAATTTGGCATGAGAGTTTGAGCATTAGGGAACATAACTTCTAGAACCAGTTGCATAAACTTGGGTAACACTCTAATTTCTCCATGGTTCATTCCTTTATCTCTAAAATTAGACCTTTATGATTCATTCTTCCTAAATTCACTTTTAAAATTATTGTGAAAAATTTCAAACACATAGAAAAATACAGAAAACATTATAATGCACCATGGAGCCATCATCAAGGTATATCATCAGTTCTTAACATTTTTTTCTGTAATAGCTGACAACTTTTTTAAAAAAAATTAACATACATTGTAGAAGCTCCTATGTATTTCTCCCTTGATCCAAGTTCTATCTCCCCCTCCCAAGATCCTGAATTTGCGTTTATCATTTATGTTTTATATAAAATCTTATGTTTTTATACCTTTACTCGATATGCAGATATCCCTAAAATATGACATGATTTTGCATGTTTTTAGTCCTCGTGGAAATAATATTCTGTATATATTTTCCTAAAGTGTTTTTTTTTTTTTTCTTTGAGTTAGGGTCTTTGTCACCCAGGTTGGAGTGCAGTGCCAAGATCATGGCTCACCACAGGCTCAGGTGATCCTTTCGCCTTAGCCTTCCAAGTAGATGGGACCACAGACACATGTCACTATGTCAAGCTAACTTTTTGATTTTCTATAGAGCTGAGGTCTCACTCTGTTGCCTAGACTGGTCTCGATCTTCTGGGCTCAAGCAATCCTTCTGCCTCAGACTCCTGAAGTGCTGGGATTATAGGCATGCGCTATTGCACCTGGCCAAGTTTGTCTTTTATGTTCAGTCTTATTCTTTGAAATATACCAATGTTGATCAATCTAGGGCTAGATTATTGATTTTAACTGCTGTATAATATTCCATTGTATACATACACCACAATTTATAACAATTTATTTATCCATTTTCCATCTCAGAGTAAATGATTTTCAGTTGTTTTGCTATTACAAATAGTTTCGTGAGGACATTTTTATAAATGTCTTACCATGTATATATGCAAGTGTTTCTTGAGGGCAGCATTATTCTAAATGCTTAGTTCTCTGATAACAATTTCTGGATAGCAGCTGGTCTGAGGTATACACTTAGAGTGACACTTCTCTAGGGCATGAATTAATAGATTTTAGGTAATAAACAACTTCAACTTTGAAAATATTGCCAAAATCCTTTTCAATATACTATATTCTCCCATGTTCTCAGCAACTTGTGGTATTTCAGACTTTTAACACTTTTTGCCAAATTTTGTCACAGTTCTGACTTTGAGGAAACTTATCATTTTCCTTTAAAGAATGATGATTTGCCGGGCTCGGTGGCTCAGCTGGTAATCCCGCGCCTTTGGGAGGCTGAGGTGAATGGATTGCCTGAGCCCGCGGGTTCGAGACCCGCCTGGGCAGCGAGACCTCATCTCTACAATAAATCAAAAAATCAGCCGGGCGTGGTAGCGTGCGCCTGTAATTCCAGCTACTCGGAAGGCTGAGGCAGAAGGATTGCCGGAGCCCAGCAGGTCGAGGCTGCAGTGGCCGGGAGTGGCCACTGCACTCCAGTCTGGGCGACAGAGTGAGACTCCAACTCAAAAAAAAAAAAAAAAAAGATGATTTTTGTAGATTTTGGGGGGTAGATATGACTTATTATATGAAGGACATTCCTCCTATTTATTTTTGTAAGCATTTTTTTAAATCAGTAAAATGATTAAATCCTTTATCTGCATCTATTGAAATAATCACATAGTTTTTTAAAAAATTAATTTGTAAATGCATTGAATTATATTAATAGGTTTTTAAAAAATGTTGAACTCACTCTGGTTAAGAAATATTATCTTTTCATACATTGATGGGTTTAGTTGTAATATTATCATGAGATTTTTGCATCAATATTCATGAATAAGATTGGTCTGTAATTTTCTTTTCATCTGCTATGTTATCTGATTTTGAATCAAGGTTATTGTAACCTCATAAAACAGTTGAAGAATGTTTTCTCTTTTCAAAACATGAAGCAATTTATTGCAAGTAACTGATCCTTGAAGCTTTGGTAGAATTTACCTATAAAACCATCTGGATATGTTGCTTCTTTTGTGATAGGTTTTATAATTTTGATTTAATTTATTTATTGGCTATGGGCCTATTGAGATTTTTTTCTTCTTGAATTAGTTTAGGTAAGTTTTCTTTTCTTTTTAAAGGCATTTTACATTTATTTCAAATTTCATAGATTACAATTTTTAAATCTCTACTGTACCTATAATTTTATTTGTAAACCATAATCCAAATTACTATATTCCTAGAGTATTATAATTTCTAATATTGTTTATTTTTGCCTTCTCTCCTTTTTCTTGACCATTCATGCTACATGTTTTTTAAATTTAGTCTATGTAATAAAACACTTTTTTTCATTTACTTTATTGTTTTATTTTCTAGGTCACTAATTTTTTATCTTTACTCTTTCATTGTTTCCACTCACTTTAGGTTTCTTCTTTTTCCAGCTTTATTGAGGTTTAATTGACAAAGATTTGTATATTGACAATATACAATCTGATGTTTTGATATATGTATACATTGTGAAATGATTACCACAACAAGCTAATTAACATAACCATCACCTCACAAAGATATCTTTTGTGTGTGTTGTGTGTGTGTGATGAGAACATTTAAGATCTACTCTCAGTAAATTTCCAGCATACCATACAATGTTAGTAACTATAGGCACCATGCTGTGTATTAGATTTCAGAATTTTTTCATCCTGCCTAACTGTGCCCTTTAAACAACATCTCCCCATTTCCCCCATCCTTGTCTTCTGTCAACCACCATTCTATTCTCTGCTTCTGCAGGTTTGCCTGTTTTATATACCACATATAAGTGAGATCATGCAGTATTTGTCTTTCTGTGCCTGGTTTATTGCACTTAGCCTAATAGCCTCTAGGTTTATCCATGTTGCTGCCAATGACAAGATTTCTTTTTTTTTTTAAAGGTTGAATAACATATCTATGGGTAAATATAATATAGACACTTAGGTTGATGCCATATCTTGGCTACTGTGAATAATATTGTAATGAACATAGTAGTGCAAATAAATCTTTGAGATACTAATTCCATTTCCTTTGTATATATACCCAAAAGTGGGATTGATGGATCATCTGGTGGTTCTATTTTTAATTTTTGGAGGACCCTCAAATTTATTCCATTTACATTTAAAGTAATTATTGATAGGTAAGAACTTACTACTGCTATTTTGTTGATTGTTTTCTTTTCTTTTCTTTTTTTTGAGTTGGAGTCTCACTGTCGCCCAGACTGGAGTGCAGTGGCTGCTCCTGGCCCGCAGCCTCGACCT